CCTTAACATTGAGCCAAAAGGAACCAGTTTCAGACCTGAGTCAAGCCCTCCCACCCTCCTTGCAGAAGGGGTTAGGACCTAGTCTTGATGCTAGAGCCTCTGTAGCATGAGTCTTCCTGTCCTTCCTAGCGTTATGACACCCCAGTGGCCATGTGTCCGGGGGACCAATGGTGAAGCATGTTATCCACTTCCTGCCAGAGAGGTGAGAGACACCAGGAAAAGAAAGACAGAAACAGAGATATATACATTGACATAGACATAGACATAGACATAGACATAGACATAGACATAGACAAATCAACATAGACATAGACATAGACATAGACATAGACATAGACAAATAAACATAGACATAGACAAATCAACATAGACACAGACATAGACATAGACATAGACTTAGACATAGACATAGACAGACAAATCAACATAGACATAGACATAGACATAGACATAGACATAGACATAGACATAGACATAGACATAGACATAGACATAGACATAGACATAGACATAGACATAGACAAATCAACATAGACATAGACACAGATATATCTGGACATGACCACTGAGTGAGTTCATTTAGCTTAATTATATTTATTTATTAAGAAGACTTTTTTCTCTTTTATTCCATTTTTATTTGGGCAGAGGTGTCAGGGGTGTAGAATAGCAATAGTGATGCTTAAGAAAGATGGCCATTGAAACAGTTTACAAGATGCACAGAAGAGAAAAGAAAGATGCTTAGAAGGAAAGACAGACAAGTAGGACAACTTATAGCCACATGCAGAATTTATTAAATACTTTTTAAAAAATCAAATCATTTGGGGCAGCTAGGTGACTCAGTGGGTGGAGCTCTGGCTTTGGAGTCAGGAGAACCTGAGTTCAAATCCAACCTCAGGCACATAACACTTAATAGCTGTGTGACTCTGGGCAAATCACTTAACCCCAATTGTCTCACCTAAAAAAAAAATCAAATCATTTGTAGTGGGAATTCATAATTTCATATGGAATTCCTTTTATCTTTTTCTATATGTATGGAAATACTACTTTTTGTGTGTTCAGGCCCAGAATATTTTTTAAAAATTAATCAACACTTTACAAAAACCTGGAAAGACTTACATGAACTGATGCTAGGTGAAGTGAGCAGACCAGGGAGAACATTGTACTCAGTATCAGCAACGTTGTGCAATGACCAACTTTGATAGACTTAGCTCTTCTCAGCAATTCAATGATCCAAGACAATTCCAAAAGACTCATGATGAAAAATGTTATCCACATCCAGAGAAAGAACTATGGAGTCTGAATGCAGATTGAAGCTTGTCATTTTTTCTCTCTTTTTTTCTTTCTCATGGTTTTCCCCTTTTGTTCTGATTCTTCTCTCACAACACGACTAATGTGGAAATATTTTTAATATGACTGTACATGTATAGCCCAACATCAGATTGCATGGCATCTTGGGGAGGGGGGACAGGAGGGAAGGCGGGAAATTTTTAAACTAAAAATCTTATGAAAGTGAATGTTCAAAACTAAAAATTAATTAATTTTAAAAAATCAACACACTGATGTCTGATTTCACAACACTCCCTATACTTTTGGATGAGCACATCTCTACTAGGAGCCCAGTCATGGGTACTAATCTTGTTTCTATCACTCATTTACTGTGTGATACTGAGCATATCAATGAATTGCTTTGGTTTCCAGTAATAGCATCTCCTCTGATTACTTCACTATGACATAATGGTTATGAAAGGCTTTTGGAATATCAAAAGCCAATGAGATTGAAACTGATTCCTGAGGTGGCCTAAGGGGTAAATTAAAGCTAAAAGAAAGAAGGATTTGACAACAAAACAGACTAAACTCATGGCCCTGTTGTGCAGCATAGAAAGATTTGTAAATAAGACTGAGCTAAGTCAGACCAAGCTGGGGCCTCAATAACTGCACTAGGTACTTAGAATGACTGATCTGGATAAAGTTTCTTCCTTACTTAACCTATATTTGCCTATATTAAAGTAGATTATGGAATGAAAAGCAGCATGACACAATGGATAGAGAGTTGCCATCAAAGGAGGCAGAACCAAGATGGTGGAAGGGTAGGAAGTAGAACTCCCCCCGTCAAAAAAAAAAATCCCACCTCCAAATAGATCTAGAAAATGTATGAGAGTGGATCCTGATGTTGAAAGCCAGAAAGAAAAATATTGACTTGTTTGTTCAACTCAGGTTGGCATAGGAAGACAGATGGAGAGCACCATAGAGACTGGGGATGGGTTCTAGCCACAAACACACAGCAGACTGAGGACCCCAGTGCCCAAGGAATGGCTATGCACCACGGTAAGAGGAAGTCCCAGACCCATCCAGGAACACAGCATGTAGAGGACTGGACAGCTGCTAACTGGAAGCTTTGGCACCCATTACCCAGTTCTGGGTCACCAAGACTCAAATGTCCACCAAGAGCAGACTGAGAAAGGGACCAGTGCCTGGGGGTGGTGTTCCCAGGTAGAGAGTCCCAGAGTGGTGTACAGAGAACAGAGCCAGCTCAGAAGCAGCAGCAGTGGTGTGATTCAGACCCCGAGGAACAGAGCAGAGTCTCAGTGCCAGCTTCTAGCCCAGACTGAAGCCTACGGAGGAATAACCAGGCAACGAATACTCCAGAAAAGGGGACCCTAGCATTCTTTCACTCTAAACCAGCAGATCACATCACAGATCCTGTCAGGAAAAAAAAATTTTTAAAGTACATTATTGAATTCTAAATTTGGCCTTTATGGATATGGCAACTAATGCCTTGTGCTGAAGGAAGTGGGATGGCTGGGTGGCAAAGTGGATAGAGTATTGGACAGAATCAGGAAGATCTAGATTCAAAGCCTGCCTCAGATACCAGTCAGTTATGTGACCCTCACTTTATGTCTCTTAGCCTCCATTCCTCATCTGTAAAATGGGAATAATAATAAGTACCTACCTCCTAGGGTTATTGGGATGATCAAATAAAGCACTTTGTAAATGTTAAAGCTCTATAGAAATGCTAGATGTCATTATTATTACAGACAGACCCCAAGGCAAGAGAGCCCTAGTGGAGTAGTGTGGCCTGGACTTCCTGGAAGTCCTGGTTACAAATTGGAATTCTGCCACTCCCTAGGAGAACTTTGATCTTGGGCAAATCCTTTCCCCTCTCTGGGCCTTAGTTTCCTCATCTGTACAATGCAGGTTGAACCCAAGGGTCCCTGAGGTCTCTTAGAAAGCCAGCTCTTGCAATCTAGGATTTATGCTACAAATATCATCCATGGTCCAGGGCCAACAGCAAACACACCTGGGCTTATTCTGAGAATCCTGACCATAAAAGGATAAAGTTCTTTCTCTCTGGATCCTTCATGCCCTCACCTGGGGATCTTGAGTTTCCATATATGTTGATAACAATATGCCCTCCCACAAAGGTTTTTGAGAGACAATTTGGTTATCAGATATAGGACAGATTGCTATTTCCTCTGCCACAGAACCTGAATAAGACACATAGTACCCAGACACTCACAAGCACATATAAGAAACATAACAACCTAATAGCCCATTACCTTTATTAAATTCCACAAAAGGTAAAGACACTCTATAGTTATCAATTGTCAGCCATTTGCCTCACAGTGCCACTGTCCAAACAACTCAGAGAAATATCCTGGACTATTGGCGAGGTGTGAGGGATTGTCTGATGTTGGCTACTGCCAAGTGGGGTTGTGGCAAGATGGGGCAGGAACTGGATACGGGGAACTAACTGGAGCTCATGCTCCCGAGGCAGGGGGCTGTGCTATGTGGAGTTGTGATGAACTGGGGAAGGAACAGGATACAAGGAAGTAGCCAGAGCACGTGCTCCTGAGGCAGGGGGCTGTGCCACGTGGGAGTGGGACGGCAAAGAACGAGCTCCCTTTGTCTAGTCCTCTCCCTAGGTGCAGCGCTAACCCCAGACGCCTCCTTCCAGTATCCAGGCCTAGCTTCCTGTGTCACGTACTCTCCCTTTGTCTAGCGCTAACCCCAGACATCCCCTTCCGGCATCTGATCCTACAACCAGTCACTAGTGGGCGGGCTGAGGAGGAGGGGCTAGGAAGGTACATAAGGGGCAGTAGGGATTGGAGCGTGCTCTCGCTTGCTCCTGCTCGTGTGCGCGTGCTTTCCTGCTTGGCCTTGCTTGTGATGGTCTCTGAATAAAGTTCGAGTGTTTGCACCTCTTGATCGGCTCATCTCTGTGTTTATCCGGGTGGGCTCTGAGGACCGGTGAGTATGACCCTGGCAGCCTGCTCCTGTTAGAAGGAGAGTGCACGGTTTGGACCTGCACAAGTGGCGCCCGAACAGGGACGTAGGAAAATAGACTAGGGCCCTGCTGATCAGCTGGCCTGGTCATGGGAAGGGAGACAAGACCCCATAGCCTACAGGGTGAGGGAAGGAAGATGGGACAGATGTTTGTTAAGGTCCCAGATCGGGAGGTGCTAGGGAAAGAAGTATATAAAATAGTGAAAGGGGCAGGGGTAGAGATATATCTGAAAACTGTAAGGGTGTTCCTAGATACAATCCAGCAATGCTGCCCCTGGGTACAGTACAACGGCCTTGACCTAACTAGATGGGAAACAGTTGGTAATCAGATGGCTTCTTACGAGGGAACAGATCCGGGGACCATCCCGGAAAGACACCATCTGATTTACCAAGTGATTCGCAGCACTCTAAGAGGTGCAAGTCGCAATCCCTTGCGAGTTGAGATTGCAGCTCAAACAGAAAGGCTGAAGGGGAACGAATGTTACAAAACTACCCAGGCTAGCTGCACCGTTAAGATGGCCAAAGCGGAAATCAGTGGTGAGGAAGAATCAGGGAGTGAGGCAGAGGACACCGGAAATAGGAAAGGGGAGAATAAGCGAGGGAAAAGAAAGGAAGAGCGTAGCAAGGAAAGCTCCGCCTATTACGTGGAGGGGTGGCCCCCTCCCCCAGACTTCCCTTTTGAGGAGAACATTTTGTCCGCTACTCCAGCTCCCTCTTGTGGGGCCATGGAGGACACCCCAACCAGACTAGGACAGTTCCAGAAGGCAGTGGCAGAAGGAGATATGGACCCCAAGGCATGGCTAGATGCCTGCCTGGCGTTTGAATCCGACGGAGGGAGGACCTGGGCCCCTTTAGAGTGGAAGAAATTTAAGGAGTTAAAAGAGGCAGTAAGTACTTATGGAGTTGAATCCCCCTATGTCAGGGAATTGATGGCCCTCCTGGCTGATAGTCAGGTACTGACCCCAAATGACTGGAAAACCATTGCTAAGGTATGCCTTAAGCCAGGAGAAACCCTGCAGTGGATGACTCTGTTTGCAGATATCGCAAAGAGCTTTGTTAGAGATATGCAGAGTCGCACTCCCCAAGATGACTTTCATAAGATAGTGGGGGCAGGGAAATATGAGAAAAATGAAGATCAGATGCGATATGACGCGACAGTGTATGCAGCTGTCTCCCAATGTGCCCAACGGGCTTTTAGCAGGGTTCAGGCTTCGGGGAAACAAGGGCCCTCCATGACCCAGATTAAACAAGGTCCTGATGAACCCTTCCCGGATTTCATGGCCCGCCTACAGGAGGCTGTTGTGAGATCCGTGGGCAGGGGAGAAGCCTCCGGCCTCCTTAAACAGAGGCTAGCACGGGACAATGCTAATACAAATTGTGAGAAGGCTATGCTTACATTAGATAATGATGCTGGCCTAGAGGAGATGATAAAGAGATGTGAACATGTGGGGTCCAGTGCCTTTCAAATGGACGCCCTCACAGCGGCTTTTTCGAGAGGGCTATCAGAAGTGCTGAAAACAAAAGAGACTAAATTGTGTTATCAATGCGGCAAAGCCAGTCATTTCAAGGCGCAATGCTGCCAGAAACCCAGTAGAGCCCGTCCCAAAGTAATTTGTCACAGTTGTAATAAGCCCGGCCATTATGCTAAAGAATGCCGCAAGTCAAAGTCAGGAAACGGGGCAAGGGGCCCCTTGAGGGCCCCTCAACAAGCTTACCAGATGGAAGCTCAACCCCCTCAGAATGCACTTTTGGGGCTGCATCGGGAATATCTCTGACTTCTACCCAGTGGTTTGGACTTCCCCTTCACAGCAAAGGAAATTTCCAAATCGACCCCGGAGATACAACCATAGTGCCAGTGACTGGGCTTAATTCTGCCCTCCAAGCAGCCCTCGTGGTGGGCCTTTCATTATATACCCCCGTTATTGTCCATACCACGGTTATTGCTCACCAACCCCAGCAACAGATTATAGTAACTAACCCACGTGATTCGGCAGCTTACATAGACAAAGGGGAGGTAGTGGCTCAAGCCCTCCCCCTGTTGGATGGTCACAGTAATGATATTAATTGGGTACAACATATAGAACACAGTAAGCCATGGGCAACTATCCAAATTAAGGGGTGATCCTTCAAGGGATTATCAGACACAGGAGTTGATCATTCTGTCATCTCACAACTATTTTGGCCCCCATCTTGGCCAGTCCAAACGGATGCCACAATGATCAACGGGGTTGGAGGGGCACAACAAGCATGGGTATCAGCAGAGGATCTGCCCTGGCAATTCGCGGATAAGCAAGGGACCATCCGACCCCTAGTGGTTGCTGGTTTGAGATACAATTTATGGGGAAGGGATATTTTGAAGGCTTGTGGGGCATCTGTTTATATACCACCCCCACAGGATTTTTAATTGGGGTCGTTGGGCAACGAGAAAAATTTTCTTGTATCAGACCCACTCCTCTAACATGGAGATCTAATAACCCAGTCTGGGTACCCCAATGACCCCTCCCTGCAGAGAAAGCCCAGGCTTTACATGATATAGTGCAGCACCAGTTACAGGCGGGGCACATTGAGCCCACATCCAGCCCCTGGAACAGCCCAGCGTTTGTAATAAAAAAGAAATCAGGGAAATTTCGAATGTTAATAGATCTCAGGGTGGTTAATGCCACCCTAGAGCCCATGGGAACCCTACAGCCTGGCCTCCCCTCCCCTAATTTAATGCCCTCTGGATGGCCTGTGACAGTCATAGACATCCAAGATTGTTTTTTCTCTATCCCATTATCCCCAGAAGATAGAAAGAGATTTGCCTTTACCACACCCACTACCAATAATGGAGGACCAGATTTAAGATATCAGTGGAAGGTCCTGCCCCAAGGAATGTGCTACAGCCCCACCTTATGCCAGGCTTATGTGGGGAGAGTGCTGGACCCTATCAGGGACAAATGGCCTAAAGCCACAATACTTCATTATATGGATGATATTTTATTAGCCACTAGCACTAATGAGACACTAGCAAGATTGGTAAAAGAAACAGTCTTTGCACTTACTCATTATGGTCTGGTGGTGGCCCCTGATAAGGTCCAACAAAACTACCCACTCACATACCTGGGCCTTCATATGGAGGCTGTTTCTATTAGCAATCAAATTCCTGAACTAGGGCTTGATAAGATAACCACCTTGAATCACTTCCAAAAGTTAGTAGGACAGATCCAATGGCTCAGGGCCCGCACACCCATTCCTCCTGCTGTAATGCAGCCCTTATATGATATATTAAAGGGAAATTCAAATTTGAACTCCCCTCAGGCACGGACTCCTGCTGCTAAGGCGGCAGTGTCCCAAATACTCTCACTTGCTGCCCAGGCCCAGACTGCCAGATGGGACCCCAAAGGTACAATAGAAGTCTCCTTGGTCAATCAACAGAGCCCTTTTTGTGTTATACACCAAGGTCCCAAATTATTAGAATTTGTATATGCAAAGAAGGCTCACAAGGTGCTGCCAAATTATTATGAGATGTTAGGGGAACTAGCCTTAGCTGCAGTACAAAGGGTTGTGCACTTGTCTAGGCAGCGACCTTTACTTTACTTACCTTTTGAACTTGGACAGCGAGAAGTCATTATGCAAACCTATTGGTCTTGGGCACATTGCTCCCAATGGGCCGAGGTGAGTCTCCATTCCTCCTGCCTGCTCCTCCCTATGCTAGAGCAAATAACCTTAGTACCCCCCCAACGAAAGGTTATGGGAGAACCTGTTCAAGGCCCAAATGTTTTCACTGATGCTACAAAAAACAGAAAGGCCTCTATTTATCATGAGGCCTCCAAGGAAATAACAGTATTAGAAACCCCCTATGACTCTACCCAGAAAAATGAGCTCTTCACCATCCTCCATGCTTGCCGTAAATATCCTGAGCCCATAAACATAATCTCTGATAGTCAATATGCAGTAAAGGTTCTTAGATGCATAGAGGATGCTGTCCTCCAACCTCATAATTCCACCATATCCTTTCTCCTGAGTGAGCTACAGCAAATTTTGTTGCAGCGAAACAACCCCCTCTATATTCTCCATGTTTATTCTCATCAGTCCACCTCAGGAGGCATTTTTGAGGGCAATGATGTAGCGGATCTTGCTTTACAGTGCTCCCTACTGCCAGTCCTCACCCCTCCTGAACAAGCCCATGATTTTTTACACCTACCCGCGAGCTCCCTGAGACGCCTGTATGGTTTAACTCATGAACAGGCTCGACAAATTGTGAGGCGATGTGTGCGCTGTGTTCCTTTCCTCCCCCCTCCACCCAGAAAGGGGATTAACCCACGCGGTCTTTTTCCCAATGACTTGTGGCAAATGGATGTTACTCACCTTGGCCGTGTCGCTATCCATGTCTGCATTGATACCTTTTCCAAATTTATGATGGCCACTGTATCCAGTAAGGAGAACGCTCCATCAGTTATTAAGCATCTGTACCATTGCTTCGCCTCTGTGGGGATCCCTCACATCATTAAAACTGACAACGGGCCTGCCTATTTATCTACACAAATGACTGACTTCTTTACATCCTTTGGCATTAAGCATGTTACAGGGATCCCCTATAACCCCACAGGTCAGGCTATTGTTGAGCGAGCCCATCGTACCTTGAAAGCCACCCTCAGTAAACAAAAAGGGGGAGTAGGAGGTCGGGGCTCCGGGCGGTGGCCTACCCAAGCAGACTTGGATAAAGCTTTATATACATACAATTTTCTCTGTCTAGATAGAGACATGGGCCTATCCCCCAGCATGCTACAGCTAATAACACCACCCACTTGCAATTCAACTGGCTCCTTAAAAACAGCACTACATGCACCATCCCTTAACCAGAAAGTCCTCTGCAAGGACGATGAAGGAAACTGGCAAGGCCCATCTGTAGTGTTGTGGAGAGGACCGGGGTATTTATGTCTTACAGATCCTGATGGCCGGAGCTGCTGGGTACCAGAAAGAAGAACAAAACGAGTTGAAGAAGCCCCGGGAGAGACAACAAGGACAGGAGAAGAATCACAGTCAACAGAAAATTCAGAGAGAACAGAAGGAAAAGACAGTCAGGATGACTAAACTGAGTAAACTGTTTTCACTTTTTTGCGCAATCGGGACTTTGCCACAGGTTGCATCAGCTCCAGTGCCCTGGGCACCCCTGTCCAAGGCCACACTGCAGCAACAGGAGGAGGCGGGAGTGGAGAGATGGATCCTGGTAGAAGGTGCTCAGAGACAAATCCTGACGTGGGAAGAGGCTACTCCTGAGATCATCTTACAAGGTAATGCCACCCTCCTCTTCGGAGGCAGGGAAACGCCACAAACACCCACAACAAAGACTTTACCCACAGCTAATTTCACCATCAGGGGGATTCCAGTCTGCATAACGGATGTGGAATATCCAGGTGGTCTCAATAGTAGCAGTCCGACCGGCCACAAGCGCCTTTGCGCTTGGACTGGAGGAAACCCTGGGGTGTGGAACCTCCAGAACTCTGATACTAACGATGACACTTTAGGACATCCTTTATACATGAATCTTACCTTTGGTGGCATAATCTGCGACATGGGGTACAATTATACAAGGCCCCCGTTTCGCCCATACATTACTAGCAAAGCCACCCCCTTATGGCCAAAATTCACTCAGTGTCATGCTCCCATCCCTTGTAACAACTGGGTTGCTGAAGGATACCTGAGTGACACCCTATTTAGAGACAATCGGGGAATAGTGCTCCATTCCTGGGTAATCGAACAGACAGGTTAGCAACTGGCTGAAATGCCAGAACCAGTGTTAGTGTTCCGGGACATTATCCACCCAGGTATATGGAAAATAGCTCTCGCTATATCCCAAAATATGACTATGAATACCACCCTGTGCAAGTGCCCAAATTCTGAATCCCTGTGCCATGACCCCACTTATCAAGCCTTTCATTCATGGTTTGGGCATGGGGGGGCCAATTACTCTACTGTGCATAGGTCAAGGAAAGGGTGTGACACGATGGGATACCGTTTCCAAGCCTCAGCTGTCGCCCCTCGAGGTTTTGGATTTTTAATCTGCCCCAACTCCCAACACACCCTGACTCAGGATACTGATGAACTGGGGGGTCCTAAGTTTCACATATCTACCTGGAACTGCACATTGACTGATGTGATTAACCCAGGCAGCTGGACCCTGAATTCCACATTGTACCTCCTTGGCATTCGCCACCTTACACTGACAAAAGCTAAGACCCCTGCCAATTGGTTCCCCACTGCTGAAGATGCCAGGTGGGAGGAGATAGGTAAAGCAATCAATTATCGTCAACACAAGAGAGAATGGCTGGGGGCACTTGCGTTAGCAGCATCCATCTTCGAGGAGTTCCAGATACAGGACTTATATAGCGGACAGCAATTGCTTGCCTCACAAATTGAGGAGCTGGACAATAAATTCACCCACGCCCTCCAAGTGCAGGCTGATATTGATCAGCAGCTGGAGAAGCAGATTCATAAAATAGCATTGGCTACCCAGGACATTGGGAATGAACTTATGTGGCTGGAATTGAAATAGCAGTTGCCATGCAATGGCCGATATCGATCCATTTGTGTAACACCCTTAAACCATAACGCCACTTGCGACGCCCTTTCACAAAGCATAAATGACACTCTCCTTTCTTTTCTATTTGGTGTAATGATACCCGTGCCCTTTCCCAGATCCAGGCTACAAATCTTTCCTCTGAACTCCAGGCTTTACGGGTGTTAATTACACTGGCGCGGAACATATCTGACACTTGGCACCAGCACGAGACTGATGATATTGTTCATCACCTTAGCGATTGGATTAAGCATACCTCTTTCCCCATCCCCTTCCTTATAACCCATTGGGATGGGGTACTATACTATACTATACTATACTATATTAGGTATACTATATTAGGATGTTTCCTTAGGATTCTTAGAGGTTCAATAGAGGTACTCAAAACCGAGGCCCTAGTATTGAGACCCCGTCTCCGCCCCCTCAATTAAACAAAAAGGGGGAATTGTGAGGGATTGTCTGATGTTGGCTACTGCCAAGTGGGGGTTGTGGCAAGATGGGGCAGGAACTGGATACGGGGAACTAACCGGAGCTCACGCTCCCGAGGCAGGGAGCTGTGCTATGTGGAGTTGTGATGAACTGGGGAAGGAACAGGATACAAGGAAGTAGCCAGAGCACGTGCTCCTGAGGCAGGGGGCTGTGCCACGTGGGAGTGGGACGGCAAAGAACGAGCTCCCTTTGTCTAGTCCTCTCCCTAGGTGCAGCGCTAACCCCAGACGTCTCCTTCCTGTATCTGGGCCTAGCTTCCTGTGTCATGTACTCTCCCTTTGTTTAGCGCTAACCCCAGACATTCCCTTCTGGCATCTGATCCTACAACCAGTCACTAGTGGGCGGGCTGAGGAGGAGGGGCTAGGAAGGTACATAAGTGGAGGTAGGGATTGGAGCATGCTCTTGCTTGCTCCTGCTCGTGTGCGCGTGCTTTCCTGCTTGGCCTTTGCTGTGATGGTCTCTGAATAAAGTTCGAGTGTTTGCACCTCCTGATCGGCTCATCTCTGTGTTTATCCGGGTGGGCTCCGAGGACCGGTGAGTATGACTGTGGCAGCCTGCTCCTGTTAGAAGGAGAGTGCACGGTTTGGACCGGCACAGCGAGGTCCAGACCTCCTGCCCTGGCATGGCTTTAGTCCTTCAGCTCCACAAGGCTTCTGGTGGTGCTCTTGTCCTCTTCAGAGAAGGGCTCTGGTCAAGACATTTTCTCCCTCCAGGTTCCTGGTGCCAGGTTCTCAAACTCAGAAGCTCTTGAACTCAAGATTACCAATGATTTTAACCCTGGAGGCTGAAAACATCTATTTGTCAGCATTGGTCATCACCAGCCTGTGCTCCGAAAAGGAAACAGAAAGATAAACCAAGCCCACCAAGAACTGGAAAGTCTAGGAAACAGCACAGGCTCTTCAAGGAAAGCCCATGTCTCTCCTTGCCATGCGTTTCTGCCTTAAATCATTTCAGGGAGGAATTACAATTTCTCCTATATGATCTTACTGCACTGTAGTCTAGAAATCCAAGACAGAGGAAATATGAGGAAAAGAGATCTCTTCCCCCATTATTCCTCTATCCAAGGGGGAGGCAGCACCTCCAATAAGAGGCTATTCTCCTGAGACCCAAATAACCAGTTATCCTGGTATGGTTCAGTGACTATAGACCAACCAGGGGAGTTCACTGTGTCCTCCCAGCAAGGGCCTAGGGGCTATACCAAGCTACATGAGATGTGCTTCCTTCCTACAAAAGTCTGTACTGTATCATCTCATCAAGTGAATTAAAAAAACCAACAAAATTGATCAAGGGTCTTCCTGAACACCTCTTCTAAGTAAGGTTCCCTGCAGCTGGCAATCTCTGTTTCTAAGTTCTAGTGTGGGGACTGGATAAATGGCTTCAAAAGATTTTGTCCCATACCAAGTTCTGCTATCTTTCAAAAATTCCCAAGGAAAGGACCAACTCCTGATTCCAACCCCTCTCAGTTGCAGAAAGGAGAGAAAATCCAGACAGAGTGACTCCATTCATCATCTCATCTTCATCAGAACTTACATTTCTTCAGGTCAGGGTCTCAGGGGCCCTGGGGCCAAAATGGTTCAGCCAAAACCCCACTGAGAACCACAACCAATCAGACAGAGGCTTGGTTTATCTTTCTGTTTTCTTTTCTTCCTGTGACACACAGGTACCCAACTCTTAAACCACGCCAAATAATCAAGTACAAGTGTTCATTGCCCCCAACCAATCACACACAGGAAGAATATTAATAGGAAAGCAATTCTTTATTGGACAGAGAGGGACTCATCAAAGTGGTGGCTTTTCAAACTGGATCCCTTCTAGGTTCCTGGCAACTATAAGGTCTTCATTAATGATTCCTTTCTTCTCCTAGGAAAGTACAAGTGGAAAAAGTTTATTCCACAGCTCCCCCCCCAGGGAAAAGTACCCATTTCCTGGGTAGGCTGACCATTTCTCCTGCCACATTCACAGGTCCACTTCCAAGGAAGAATAGGGAAAGATCCCTTCCCCTGGAGCCTCTCCAGAGATCAAGATTTATAATGGATTGGACTTCAGAGATCTCCTAACCTAGCTCCTTTATTTTATAGATGAGGAAAATTAGGCCCAAAGAGAGAAAGGTGTTTGCCCAAGGTCCTAGAAACAATTAATGACTATATGAACTAGACACCAGAACCACCAATTGAATCTTATCTCTTGAAGTATTCTCCTTCCTCTAGGGATCTGGTCCTGTTCTGGCTGCAAATGAATTCTCCAGCATCCCTATCCCCTGGGTCACCAGAGAGGACAAGCCTTGACAATTTTCAGGGAATTCAAAACATTTATTGCTCCCAACCCAAGTGAAAAATGTGGCAAGGCAGGGACCCACAGCAAACTTACCCTATTAAGTGGTCTTAGTTTCTAATCTTTCCAAATATAATTCAAGCCTTCTTTGTCTGGCCTCTTTAAACTTGATAATTTTCTCTACTGAAGGGTGAAAAAGAGAGAGATGGCTCATTCTGCAACTAAGTCTGAAAGGAACAGGAGGAAAAGAGCCAAAGCTACGAAGACACCATGGAAGATGTCTGATGGAAGGAGCTCTGGCCTAGGAGTCAAGAGGCCTGGGTTCCCCTCCCCATTCTGCCCCTCATTAGCTGTGTGACTTCAGGAGAATTCCATTCACTCTGAACTTCAGTCTCCTACTCTAAATGATGGTGTTATCCTAGATAATCTCACAGCTCTAACTATCTTTCAGTCTATAAAGAGCACAGAATAAAAAGGGCTCCCTCCCAAAGTGGATAAGAGTAAGAGGGCTCTAGTACCTGTTTCCTTGTCCAGCTTTGGCAAGCCAGGGTTCAGAGCATCCATACACTTTTTGCCACAAATGCCTGGGCAACACTTCAGAGTTCCAAGGCAGTCTCTGTCCCTATGACATTTGTGGGGGGGACTTGTCTTGGTACATTGATATATTACCACTGGACAGGTTCCCAGCTTCCCTATAGACAACACAGATGCAAGATGGCCCAGGTGAGAGCCAAGATTCTGACATCATATAAATGTTGGAGAAGATATGGGAGAATTGGAACACTGATACATTGTTGGTGGAGTTGTGAACTGATCCAAGCATTCTGGAGAGCAATTTGGAACTATGCCCAAAGGGCTATAAAAATGTGCATACCCTTTGACCCAGCAATACCACTTCTAGGGCTGTATCCTAAAGAGATCATAAAAATGGGAGAAGGATCCACAAGTATAAAAATATTTATGGAAGCTCTTCCTGTGGTGGCCAAGAATTGGAAATTGAGGGGATGCTCATCAATTGGGGAATGGCTAAACAAGTTGTGGTATATGAATGTAATAGAATACTATTGTGCTATAAGAAATGATGAGCAGGCTGACTTCAGAAAAACCTGAAAAGACTTATATGGACTGATGCTGAGTGAAGTGAGCAAAACCAGGAGAACATTGTACACAGTAATAGCCATGTTGTGCGATGACTAACTTTGATAGACTTAGCTTTTCTCAGCAATGCAAGGATCTAAGACAACTCCAAAAGACTCATGATGGAAAATGTATCCACATCCAGAGAAAAAACTATAGAGTTTGAATGCACATCAAAGTATACTATTTGCTCTTTTTTTTCTTCTGTTTGGTTTCTTCTTTCTTGTGGTTCCTCTTATTGGTTCTAATTCTTCTTTACAACATGACTAATGTGAAAATATGTTTAATAGGAAGAGCCTGTATCAGATTGCACACTCTCTTGGGGAGGAAGGGATGGAAGGGAAGAAAATTTAAAACTTAAAAGCTTATGGAAGTGATTGTAGAAAATCATAAATACATTAATTAATTTAAAAAAAAGATTCTGGCATCTAAATTCTATGAATTTAGAACTGAACTTAAAGGGAACTTAGAACATGTACTCCATACCTAAAAGTCTCTTGGATTCTAGGATGCTATACAAAATTCACAGTTGTCTCACCTTTATGGTATCTGATACCCATAGAACTGGCACCAAAGACAATCCAGGGCTGGTAATTCTGCCTGGCTTCCTCCCTGGCCTGGTTGAGGAGTGACTGTGGAAGTTCTGTCCTGACTGTGACTGGGGATGGTGCCAACTCTTCCCTTGAATGGGAGTATATTACCTCCCTCTGGTTTAGTGCCTCAGATGCACAGGAAGTGTTTGGCCTTGGAGTCTGCAAACCTGGGTTCTGGTCCCAGCTCCAAGATTTATAGGCCATGTGACCTTAGACAAAATCTTCTCCTTGGAGACCTCTATTCCACATCTGCAAAATGACTATAATAATCCTTGTACTCACCTAAGTTCCTAAAAGTGTTAAAGAAATGTGAGGTGTGATGATGATTATTCTGGTGAGAGTGGAGACCCCCCCTTCCTCAGGTTCTATTACACACACAGGGTATAAGGCCCCAGCCATCACCAAGACCATCCAGAGAAGGCTTGACCTTTGCCCTTTGCCCTTCCTTCCCCCACAACATCCTCCAAAGGTTGACTTTCACTCTGATTTCACCTAGCCAATAATGGGGCTTTGTGTGTGTTTTCTGGAGGGTTCTCAGACAGGGAACTGTGATTTATCCCAACTGAACACCCTATACTCCATAACCTGCTTAGAAAAGCTCAACCTCCAAACTTTTGCCACCCTCTTCTCCCCATATACTTGATTAAAATACACCTCCTTTTTCCAAAACCTGGCTTCAGGCTCATCTTTTTGGGAAAGCCTTCTTTGATTATCATAGAAGCATATAATTTTAGAGCTGGGAAAAGAGATTATCATCTATTCACTTTATAGGGGAGAAAGCTGAACCCCACAGAAGCATCTTGTCCAGACACGCTAATGGAAGATCTGTGACCAGAACTCAAATCCCTCCATGTCTAGACCATGGCTCTTTCACCTTACTGTGCCCACCTCCTCACCCCAGAGCACTCTCTGGGGCTTTCACTGGCATGTTATCCCTATTCAGATTACATGATATTCCTCTCTACCCACCTGGACTTTCCCTGGTTAGCAAACCATGCCCTCTGTGATTCTGGGAGGCAGCTCTGGTTCAGCTAGTGTTAACAAAGCCCAGAAATTTCTGTATAGGGGAGTAACTAAGTGGGGGTGTCCAGGGCTTTGCCACAGGTATCAATAAGGGTTGGGACCTGGTTCTTTCTGGATAGCCCTGACACAAGTGACCCAGACCTCCACTCATCCCATGGCTGCCTTCTGTGACTGCACTAACCTAGAACCCTCTTCTTCCTGTGCCTCAAAGATTTTGTCTCCAGGCAGAAAGGAGTCCTCATTACAACCCTGCTCCTTTATATGTAATTAGTTCATAATCACTACCAACAACCCTCCTACCTCCACCAGACCTGAGTTCAAATCCTGCCTCAGGCACTTACTAGCTATGTGACCCTGGGCAAGTCACTTAACCACTCTCAGCCTCAGTTTCCTCATCTATAAAATGAGGGGGTTTGATTGATGGTCACCTGAGATCCCTTATAGATCTTAATCTAAGATTCTATGATTCTACCCCAAACATTGGTGAGGTGCTCAGACCTCTAGCTCTAAAACCCCAGCCCTAAAACCATATCTCTCCTCAGCCCAAAGAACCTATCTCTAGCAATAACTTATGAGTGGGCCCCAGTGAGACCAACTATCCTCCCTGTTACAAGAACAAGCTGACCTCTGTAGAATTTCCTTGTATGAACAGGACCATCTTGAACCAGCAGAACTATCACGTACTGATTCCCACAGTTACCGTATACAATCCAGAGGTCAAGCTATAGAAGTCAACTCCCAAGACTATCTTGTTATAGATGTAGATGTCCAGAGGTACAGACCCCTTAGAAGCCCTCCCCTCCTCTCTCCTTCACCAAAGCCATGCCAGTAGTGAATGAAACTTGTGCCCAAGGTATAGAAACTGTATGTTCACCAGCTAGTTAGCTTACTTGCCACACAATTCACTGTATCTTTTCTATATAAGCTTTGGCATCAGTCCTGTTGGGATGCAAGTTCTCTAAAGGAGCTCTACCCACCTTTATTAGTGTTATAATAAAATTTTTGCCACTTGACTGGAAGACTGCTTGAGTCCACAAATTCTTTCCAGACAACGCTGCCCTGAATCTTAGTATTTTGGAGTCCCTACAACCCCAACATGACTGTGATATAGGATCATAAGATTAAAGCCAGAGGGCTCTTTAGATACATTTTATCTTCTAGTCAAAGTCCTTCACTTTACAGATCACAAATCTGAGACCCATCAAACTTAAGTGACTTGCCCAAGGTCACATCAGCAATAAAGAGCAGAATGGGGTTTGAGAGCCAGGTCCTCTGAGCCCACAGGCAGAGCTCTTTCTACTATACAACAGGGATTCAGAGAATCTTAGAATCAGAGAATTGTGGGATCTCAGAGATGGAAAGGCCCTCAAAGGCTAGTCTGGTCCAATTTTGACCATGAATTTCCTATACAATCATCCAACCTCCTCTTTAAGCACCTCTGGTGATGGAGAGCTCACTACCTCTCAAGGCAGCTCATTCCATTGTTGGACAGCTATAATTATGAAGAATTCCCTTTCTTTTCTTTCCTAAAATTTACTTTCCTCTAACTCCTCCCTTTCTCCCTCCCCCAAAGATCCTAGTTCTCCCTCTGGGGCCAAGTAGAGTTTAATCCTCCTTCTCCTTCCTTTATGTGCCCAACTCCCCTCCCTCCACCCCAGCTGCCCCAGGGCCAGACTGAACTGAGCTCTTTACCTGAGTGAGGTCTGAGGCACTGCTTTCCACAGGCTCCTGGACAGCACTTGTACAACCCTCGACAGTCTCCATCACAGGTACATGCGTCTGACGGAGTCTTCTTCCCACACTGGCCTTGAATGTCTGGGCAGAACCCTGGCTTCACTTCTACTTAGGAGAGATATGAATAACTTGAGGTCAGAGGGAGAACTTACTGGCTGGATCCAATCTCTAAAAATTAAATTCCATCACCTTTCACATTTGATTTTCACAAAAATTCTAAGAGCATGACAAAGTCTCTCTATACTAGAGAGGAGAAAACTGAGGCACAGAGATGACAACTGAGCTAGGGTGAGTCTTCATTTTCAGATGGGGAAACTGAGGCCTAGAAAGGCAAAGCAACTTGCCTAACACTGGAATCCATCCCATTCTTTCCACAAAATTGAACAGAACCAAGACCAGTCAACTCAATTCTTTCCAGAGGAGTCATGCCTCCACCTTCTCCTGTGAGCAATATCTGGTAGTGGTCACTTGTAAAAAGAGCTAAGATATGAGGGATAAAGACCAGATGGGGCTGGAAGTGGGCTACACTTACCTGACAACCTGTCTTCTACTGTATACTTACAGTCAAAGTGACAGTAATAGAAACAGCATTTCTGTTTGCCACTGCACTCTTCATCTCTCTGGCACTTGGCCTCATAATGCCTTCTGCAGAGGGCGTTATCTTCTGGACAGGTGCCTGGTTTCGTGGACCCTAAGAATGGGAGAAGGGAATGGTGACTAGTCCTTGAAGGTTTCCCTCCCCGCCCAGTAAGCAGCCTAAGGGACTAAAAGAGCACAGACATCCCCCATCACATCATCTCTCCCTATGGGCTTGGTTCAGATTCCTGCAGATAGGGATCATCCTTGCACAACCTAGCTGCCTCCCAAGGTACCTCTGAGGAAAGTGCTTTGCAAACCTTAACATCCTAGAAAAATGGAAATTATTCCTCAGCCCCCTCCCCAACCCCTCCTCTGCTTATTGCCTCATACCAGGAATTCCCTTCCCCTTGGTTCTCAGCCTCCTGAGAGGTGAGGTGAGACTACATGATTCCTTCTAACTCTGACATTCCACATGCTAATATTTTCTTTGAATGCTCTGGGAGTCTGTGCCTTTTATCCTACCCAGAGAGATGAGGCAGAAAATATAGCTTCCTGCACCAAGAAGGTTCAGGTACTCTCATTCCCAGTGAGGGGCAAGAATAAGGCTAGGTATAATTTACATTTAATTAGTACCTGACAGTTATAAAGCACTTTATGCCTGTTATCTCACTTGGTCCTCCCAACAACCCCATAAGGAAGGTAATAAAGCAGTATTGTACCCATTCTAGAGTCAAAGAAACTAAAGCTTAGAAAAGTTCAGTGATTAGAACATTGAAAGTTGGGAATGAAAAGGATCTTGGAAATCATTTCTCTAAATCAATGCCCCCATTTCACAGCTGAGGATGCTGAATGGGGGTGTCTTGTCAAAGCTCATACATTTCCTTGGTAATGGATGAACAGAGACTACAGCTGAGATCTCTGACTCCTGGTCCAGTCCTTGTCTCTCATTATACCATGAAAATGAAGGATTTCAGAGTGTGGGGCTTGAGAAGGGGAAGGAGGTTGTGTTTAGGATTAGGGGGAATTATCTGAGGCAGGGAAGAGACGAATCCCACCCTCCATTCCCAATAGCCTCTGGTTAGTTTGAGGTCAGACCCATCCTTCCATTCACCTGTCCCTGGAAATATCCCTGGCTTGTCAGGCCACTGGGGACAGTATGCTCCTTCCATGCAGCCATGGGCTACCCTGACCACTCCAAAAGGAGGACATTATTGGAGGCACTCACCCTTTCCAAGAACAGGCTTATATGTCCAAGTCCAAGGCACAAAGAGAAGCAAAATGATGGAGAATAGACCACTGAAGTGCATGGTGCTTGCTGGAGTGAGAAGCCTATGAGGGGCAGGGACAGAGGCAGAGTGCCTGAAATTTACCGTGGCTCTGGGTGTGGGGCAGTCTAGGGGCGGGACCCTCTCACCTCCTGCCTGGGGCAACAATGGTTGCGTAACACCATGAGGGAGGCCCTGTAGCCCACAGCACTTGCCTACAGTAGGTAAGGAGAGAATAGAGGAAGTCTCTGGGAGGCTCCTGACAGATCCTTCCCCTGGGAAGGAACAGAAGGCTAGGCAAATTTCCCCCTACTGCACTGGAAAGAGGTCTTGACTTGGAGTCTTAACTCTCACACTCTGTTGTGGAGTCTTGGGCAAATTGCAACCTCTCTGAGCCTCAGTTTCTGAATCTATAAAATGAGAGTAGTAGTGCTTACATCAGCTACCACAAAGTCTCGTGAGAAAAGCACTTTGTAATCCTCATACTTCAATCAAAGCTATCTATAGCCATATGAAAAAATACTTTAACTCACCATTGATTGGAGAAATGCAAACTAAACCAATTCTGAGGTACTACTTCATACCTATTAGATTGGTTAATAGGGGAGAAATGGTGAATGACAAATGGTGGAGGGGATGTGGGGAAAATGAGATATTAATGCATTGTTGGTGGAGTTGTGAACTGATTCAACCATTCTGTAGAGCAATTTGGAACTATGCCCAAAGGGCTATAAAACCATTCATACCCTTTGACCTAACAATACCACTACTAAGTCTACATGCCAAAAGAGATTTAAAAAAAAGGAAAAGGAAAAGGACCTATATATTCCAAAAATATTTATAGCAGCTCTTTTCTGGGGACAAAGATTTAGAAATTGAGGGGATGCCTATCAATTGGGGAAATGGATGAACAAGTTGTGGTATATGATTATGATGGAATACTATTATACTATAAGAATAATGAGCAGAAAAACTTGCATGAGCTGATGCAAAGTGAAATATAGTGTGTACAAAGTAACAGCAATTTTGTAAGATGATCAGCTGTGAATGACTTAGCTATTCTCAGCAATACAATGATCCAAGACAACTCTGAAGGACTTATGATGAAAAGTGCTATCCATCCCCAGAGAAAGAATTGATGGTATCTGAATACAGACTGAAACATACTTTTTTTTACTTTATTTTTCTTGAGGATTTTTTGGTCTATATTTTCTTTCACAACATGACTATTATGGATATGTTTTGCATGACTAAAGATGTATAACCTATATCAAACTCTTTGCCTTCTCAGTGGTGGGAGGAAGGAGAGGAGGGAGGAAGGAAGAGAATTTGGAATTCAGAGTTTTAAAAATGAATGTTAAAAAAAATTTTACATGTAACTGGAGGGAAACAATATATTAAATAAATAAAGTAAACCTCATACTTCTATAGAAAGGTGGTTACTATTACCATCACTGAGAGTGGTATTAAAATCATCTCCAATCATCTCTAGAGAGCAGATTGTTAAATTTTCAATGTGAACCTCAGAAATCAACAAAGTAACAAATCAGGGCTTGATTTATCCTTTTAAACATTGTCTAGACTTAAGAAAGTAATAGAGAATATGTAGATTAGTACACAGATTAAATTGAAAAGTGTGACGCGGATTTTTTTTTTAAATTAGTTGTTAAATATTTACCAGCAAACCGCTACCAATCCCATATCTCTGGCTAAAAGGTCAAGGTGAGCAGTTTCCATTGGCAGAATAACAACAATCAACATTTCTATAACACTTTAAAATTTATAAAATTTTAAAAACATTTTACAAGTGTTATTTTATTTGAGTCTTACTTTAGATCTGTAAGGTAGGTGCTATTATTATTAGATGAAGAAAAAGAGGATGAGAGAGATTAAATGATTTACCTAGGGTATGGCCGGCAAATAAATGTCTGAGGCAGAATTTGAATTCAGCTCTTCCTGACTCTAAGTCCACAGTTCTAAATATGACCCATAACTGTCTAAATGGTAAAGAAGGTCCCAGTGTTCCCCCCAAAAAATCCTGCATACTCTGGCTGAAGGAAATTCCACTCTTAGACCTTCATTCCTTTGACTTAGAACTTTATTTCTCAACTAGCCCTAAGTTATCATTTAAAGCCTCCTAGGAAAAGTCACACTGTGACTATGAACACTCATTGGCAGAGCCAAGATAGTAGAATAGAAATAGCAAAGTAGCAATACAGCCAGGATCTTCCAACATTCCCCTCCAAACAACTTTATAACAAATGTGGCAAATGTCATTATGGAATGGTAGAGTCAACAAAAGGTAAGAGTGAGGCACTTTTCTAGCCTATGACAATTTAGGAGGTCACTAAAAAAGGTCCGGGACATGGAGGGGAGGAGGAGGCAGAGCACAGGTGGCACCAACACCAGTGGTGGGCCTTGGAGGCAACTGTATTAGCATCAGCATTAGCTTTGAAGCTCTTAGCCAACTGCTCAGAAAGAGATGAGAGGGAACCTTGAGCTGCCACTGCTGCAGGACCCTGTTTTACTGCCCATACACAGTTTCAGGGCTCAATTCCAAGACAGCGAAGACCATTAGCCTTTGAGGCTGCAGGGGAACAGGGACCCTTGTCTCAGTTTCAGGACCAAGAGGATTACTAGCATTTGTGACTATAAGGGAGCAGAGGCCCTTCCTGGGTAAAGATAAGAGCACAGACCAGGAGAACGGGGACCACATCTCTCCCCTGATCACATCACCTCAAAAGCATCAAGAGCTTACAGACTCCCAGAACTAGCTCTGAAAACAGCAGCAAGTAAAAGTCTGAAAGTTAGTACAGCGCTCCATCCCTACCCAAGGAACAGAACTCAACTAACATAAAATTAAAAGTCAAGAAATAAGCTGGAAAATGAGCAAACAAACAAACAAAAAGAACCTGACCATAAAAAGCTGCTGTGGTAGTAGGTAATATCAAGACAAACTCAGAAGGAGACAACAACATGAAAACAGCAAAGCCTCAAAAGAAAAATGCACACTGGATACAAGCCCAACAAGAATTCCTGGAAAAGCTAAAGCAAAAGATCAGTGTGGTAGAGAAAAAATTGGGAAACACTTATTGACACCTTAAATGTGAATGAAAGATCTAAGAGAGAAGAGGGGGACAGCCTTGACCCCAAACACTCCAGCCAGTATTGCCTCCCTTTTTGTGAACTAGAGTTATACAAGCCTAAGTCAGTCCAATCTGTCCTACTAGAATGTACCATGGAGGGGAAGGAAGAAAAAGCTGTAGCTCATGGCAAGGAATGTGTTTGAAGTCCTAGCACAGTCTGAGGTGATGATAGGTAAGAACTTGGGTCACCCTCAAACTGGGATGCTCCCCAGGCTTTCAGAGTCCCAAGCTTTCAACCCCACTTCTGATGGCTTTCCTCCTCATATTCTCTGCTTTAACCTCATTAGTCAAATGACACCCTCCCCCTACTTCACCAACCCTTCTTGAAACTTCTATTCAAAACTTACCTCTGCCAAGAAATGTCCTTATATTAACTCTATTCCACTCTGTTCATTGTGTTAATGATGACCACTCAGCATCCCTCAGATTGCCTTATGCTACATGTACTATGTTAGCTATTGGATGATGTGTGATGGTCTTTAGATTCAGGAGGAATGGAACTTTTGTAAAGTATATATGGACTAGGCATTACTATGACAGTCTTCCTTCAAGTACCTCCCCATTGGTCAACCGTCTTGTCTACAAATCCTGTAAGAGTCTTATGTTAAAATACAAACCACTCTAGTAGGGTCTCATTTTTCCTCTGACATCTCTAAGCAAGAGTACTGAACTTTTTTTTTGGTGAAGTCTAGGTACCTCTA